GGTTGCTCTTGCCAGAAGCGAAGAAAACTTTTTCAGCTCATGCGCCACTGAACAACTTTTCATTCAAATATAAGAGGCACCTTCTTGTAATCTGGTATCCGGTTTTCCTTAATGCATCCATGGTGAGCACAGTGGAGTGCAGCGTTTGCCTGGAGGAGCCATGAGGGAAGGTACACAAGACCATCCTTTGTAAAGGGTAGTATGACATCAGCGCATGCATTCATTAGAAATCTGTTGATGTGACTGGACACTGCAGATGACTGGACTGTCACCACAGTTCCATACTTGATGAAAAATAGTTTAAACTTAGGTGTAAAATTACCAGCAAGTTTAGATTTCATTTGCATTCCTATTTGCAGATTAGTTTAAATGAACTCTATGATTAATAAAGAGATCATAAAGCAATTTTAATCATTCCTCAGAAAAATTTTTCTTTTCCCGCTCAGTCATTTTTCCATTTTTCAGTGAGAGTCTGTCGTCTGCGAGCAGCAAACATATTTAAATATTGATTTTTATGAGTCTCGTGATCTGTACTTTAAGTAGAAAGTATATTTTTACATAATTTCCACTTTCCCTAAAACATGTGGTTGCCTTTATTACATGTGCAGATAATATCTGGTAATGTATTTTCTTGTTTTGCTTCATTCCACATCACCGATACAGCCACTGATGAGTTCATGCAGACCCAAAGATGAATAAGTTTGTTTAAAATGTTGCTTTCCCGTCACATTTAGTATGGGGTTATGGGAATCAAACACCTTTTTGATACCGGGATAGAGGGTTTTAATGACAGCAAGTCTAAAAATGAAGACTTTGCCAAAGCAGCTGAAGACGAGGATTATATTTTTGTGCCTGATGATCAGGCAGATATGACTTTGACAATGCTACCTCAGAGATAATGAGCTTCACAGCAAAATAGCAGACTGCTGCCAGCAGCATGTTGCAGTGACCTCAAGATGTGACTGATTTGTGATTACTTTTCTGACTAATGAGTGAGCGCCATTAAGCAGTTACTGCTGCTTTTTTGTATTAGAATATGCACATAAATATAGAATATAATTCATTACGATGAAAGAGTTTCACAAGTTGTAAAAAAAGAAAAAAAGAAAAAGAAAAACAGAACAACATGGGCATCTATAAATAATAATTAAACAAATATATAAAGAAGTGTTTTGGGAAGCATTATTATCATAAATAATATATTCTTAATAGTCATTTTAATTAGGAGCTCAATCTGTCTCAAGAGTAACAGTCTTGTATTCACCCGACATATGTAGAGTGAAAATTAACAAAAAGAAATGTAGTTTTGTGACCTGCGACCTTTATAGAGCTGCAGAACTTTGTGTGGAGTTAGCACCTCTGTTATTAATATTTGGGGATTCTGGCTTAGATAAGAAACAGCTGGTGTAGTCATGAGAGAGAGAAAGCTGGCTAATTAATTAAGCTGTGGGCCACAGAAATTCATTTTGCATATAAGCGTTGTGACCACAAAGCATAGCCCCAGCACAAAATTGGCTGAAAGTCTTCAATTAAACATGCTGTTTAAACAAATATCCACAAGCTTAGAGAAGCGCTCTCTAATGAATAATTCATCGCTCCAGAGAGGAAATAAACGGGAAATACTAGAATATGTAAAACCTATTTGTAGCTGTGAGCATACAGTAATAATTAAGCCACTGATTGTCCTTAGATTCATTTACTTAAGAATATATTTTCCTTTCAGGGCTAACCAAGGAAATTACATGAATACTTTATTGCTGCTAAAATATAATACAACACTGAACAAACTCTGCCTCTCCTTTCAACAGAGCCGTTAAAGCATGAAATCTTTCTCAGAGCCAACGGAGGAAGTTTCTGGTGTTCTGCTGAGTGGAACGGGGTCTTTCAACATCACAGTAACATGTGTAACAACATCAGGACAAAGTGAGCTCCAGATGTGGTGAGGCCTCCGGCTGAGGCTGAACGCCACTTCCTATCGGCACCGCAGTGGAGCGGCGGTGACACTAGCGAGCGCATGGTTGAGAGGAAGTCTATGGGAGGGGTGGAGGAAGATGTATGTCAAAATAATGTGCCTCCAGGATGCATTATATAACGCTATTAAATTGTCAGTGTCTAAAACAGTGCATAGAGGATACAACCTTTGTTTGTGACAGCCGAGAATCCATTTTCCATGTTTGTTTCATTGTGAGTCTTATCAGCGAGTGGTTTCTTTTGTCCTACTCCTCTTAACCTCACTAAAATGGGAGTTTTTTTCGTGGTACTTTAACTTTAAATAAAATGAAACTATAGCTGCACTCCATGCGTTAGAAGGGGAAAAAATATCTTTTTAAGCAGCTTAATATTGAAAGTCCATTCGAGTTGAAAAGGTGTATCTTGAAGAGGAACTGAAGTGGCTGAGGAAGATGGATAACTATGGTTGCAATAGAAGACTGTCTTAGTGTGAAACAATGCAAGAAGAGAAGCAGACAGTGGAACATATATAACACAGAGGCATGTATGACCTAAATCTGGTAACATACAGCGGATACTTGCAAGTGATATACTTCTGCTTGTATCCTCAGTTTCGGTGCTCTGCATATCTCATATACACATTCACTCGCACCTACACATTTCCCAGCAAACACAAGGTAAGAGATTATCTGCAGTGTTGAGAATCAATGACCTTTCAGTTATGAACAGTTTGACCCTGCAAAGCCAACTGTTGGTGGGAGTGAGTTCACGAGAGAGCAAGGCCACCTCAGGCAGCCACTATCTGCTGTTTGTCGTACTTTCTGCTAACACCTCCACATGATGCACTGCATCACCAGTGGCACTATTTCTTCCTCTGGAAATAGACTGCGGCTCAACACATTCAACACACCTTTGTTCTCGCTGCAATGAAGCATATATTTCAATCTTTACCACATATCATACGAGATTTGCAGTGTTGCCCCTCGAGAGTAATTCATCCATTCATATCTGCACAGCACATTTTGTTGTATTTGTAGCATCTGCATTAAGTTTTACAGTCATTGTAAGTGGGATATAAAAATATTTTATTTCTTTTTCTTTTTTTTGAGCAAGTCAGTGTTTTAGACCTGAAAAATCGTCCGTCTGCTGTTTCCTCTGGACATGTTCAGGGGTCGAGAAATTCGCGACCCTAAAAGCAACATCTCTGCCCGGCACTTTACAGATGCACGACGGACACAATCTGCTCTCTTTTGTGCACTGTTCACGCTCTTTGCACCAAATAAATACAGCACCTTATGAATCATACCGCAGAGAGCAACACTGCCTGTACCAGGAAGCCAGAGAACAGCCCAAAGCATATCTGAGAGAGTGGCAGGCAGCAATCTGTAAGTAGAGCTGTAGGGTGGAAAGCAGGCCACCTTGTCGGAATCACTGAGCATACACAAGCACCTAGTCAAGGGTCATCCAGCTAATGGACTTCTGGACACACATTCTTTGCAATAAGGCTGCCAGTATGTCAGTGCACAAGTAGAACAGTTGCTTGTGCAATGTCAAAAGAAATAATTGCCGAGAAAAAAAAAACATTTGGAGTGAGAAACACAATGCTGCTGATAAATCTGCAATCTTCCTGTCTCAGATGCTTTTTCACGCTACAGGTGAGTTTATTGACAAATAATAATTTATCCAGAGTCTGTGTGTGTTTAAGAGATATGAACATCAGGTCACAATTTAGCTGCTCCCGCAATCACTACACATGGACGATTTGATACGTCTCCCCGTAGATCTAAATTTCTATTGGCAAGGACACAACAGATCCTTCGCCCTCTGTAATCTCGATTTCCTCCGGTAATACCAGTCAGCGTGAACTTGTGAGATTTTTTCTGCCTTTAATGATTGGCCCAATGGTCTGCAACCAATGGCCTTCCTGCCACCAATTCATGACCCGTCAACCCCAATCCTCCCACCAATCCAACAGGCACACAACACACAGGCACAGAACAAATGTCCCAGTGTCAGAATCAATCCAGACAGGCATCCCATCCCCCTCTCATAAAACTGGCATCTCATTTATCCAGGAGTGAGGACTATGGTAAATGGAATGACAGGGCATTTACACTTTCAGCAGCAGAGGGTCCTGAAGGATTCGAATTGTTCACTTTGAACCTGTTTTCTCCAAGGAGGTACCTGAACGCACATTTGAAATATTAATTCCATTTTCTCTTTGTTGACACGAGGCCACTTTGGAGAAGATATGCTATTTGTCAGTGTCTTTTTTTCCTTTTCTTTAGCATTTTTTCTCCTCCAATAGACATGTGCACACCTGAGTAATGAAATGAAGGTGTTGGAACAGGAAGTCTTCTGGCTCACAATATTGAGAGTATTGAAAAGACCCCTTGCTGATATGCTTGAGGTGCACCAGCGCATAGAGGAAATAACAGACACCAAGGACCTGCACGCTCATGCAGCTACTTCTGCCTTTGAAGTTCTGACAGCATTCAGCTTCCTCTCCTCTGTTGAATCCTGAGATCATAATTATTTACCATAACCAGGGCTCACATCCGCCTGACGAAAACAAAAGTTCGACCGCAATGTTTCGGTCATATTCTATTCAGTGCAATTTCACAGGGAACACAATCGCACAGATCAAATTGAGGGGGAGAGCAGTGTAGCATGAATATCAACTGTAATAGCTCAAGAAGGGAAAAGCGCAAAGGCATTCATTGTCTATCTGTGTGATCTTCACAAAAGATATTCTCAAGTTATGTGGCACAAATCTTAATGAAATCAGCCACTATACAATGTGCCTGCTAAATAATTTGTTAGTTAACCGCTAATTTATTAATGGGAGTAATGACTTAATAAAATCAGTGAAATGCAAAGTTGTGTTGCTTTCCATGAGCTTGCAATAATGTAATTAAACTTATAAGCACCCAAGCCCAACTAAGAAGTACTTAAGAGGCTTTAAACACTCAATCTGTTCTTTTTACTTCTATGCTTTTGTGTAAATACATGGTAGCCACAAGCAAGAGATAAAGCACTGAAGGACTCACCAATCATATGAATTGTGGTTCGCCCAGGCCTCGTCCCATGATGCTGTTGGATGGTATCGTAGAAAGTGGCCTGACACAGCTGGATGGCAGTCACGCTGACCCAGAGGCACAGGCAGAGCAGCCAGGACATGACAGGACACATCTGCTAAGGACCAGCAGAGGTGGAATCAACTCACAATGCATTACGTTGTCAACCCATGACCTCAACCCCCCTCTGCCTCCAAACACACAAACACACACACACACTTCCGAGGTCCTGAGCAAACTAACAAAAAACACAAATATATACATTTCAACATTTTTTTGCACAAGCGTCTATAATTGGCTTTAACGCCCCTCAGTGGAGTTTTTTAGTCATCGGGATTTATCATTAGCATGATTATATAAGTATGAGTTCTTCACTGTTTCGGCTTCCCAGTTTGCCCTGTCTTGTCCCTGAGCCACAACACTGCAAATGTGGAGTGATCCCTGGGGAGTTTTTCCCATGCAGCAGAGATTTCCCCTGACAGGCTGACTCCCTTCAGCTCCTGAGCTGTGCTGCTGCCTCAAAACCAAAATCAAACTTAAAGAAAGATAAGATTTCGTGAGCAGCTGGCTGCCAAGGCTTTTCTGTATCTGTCGGAATAATGTGACAGTGACATGGCGGTAGTAGGAATCAAAAAGCCTTGTAATGTTTCACAATGCTGTTTAGATAAGGAAAAAAAAAAGACAAAACAAAAAATAGAACAGTGAGGAATGCTCCTGGTCACAGGAAGGAAATCTATGAAGAAGAAAATAATGAAGAAAAAAAGATGTTTCAACCCTGAAATTGTTTCACAGCAGTAAACTGAATTATTAATCATCCTTTGAAATGCATTATTCCCTATCAGACCCTGTTTTTTATGTTTTATGGTTTTTGATGTAATTCCTTGTGTATTTTAAAACTTTTATCAAAAAATAAAAAGAGCATCACATCATTAGGTTGTATGACATTTTTTTGTGTGTTTTACGAATATTTGGTGTGTATGAGATAGTCAGAAATGATTTAAAGAATAAACAATAGATAGATGTCTAAATAAACATGCAATTTTCAGTGTAATCAATATTAGGTTAATCATGAAAAGAGAAAATAAAAATGCATTTTGTTTACCTCAATAGTATACCACAGAATACAATTTTCAGAATGTGTGCAGATTTTAAAAAATTTGCATTTTATTTATTCAATGTATGATCTCCCAGTTTAACACAAAAACCTAAGCCCCCCTGACAAAACCAGGAATTAGTTTTTGCCCAGAACACAAAGAAAGATGCCTTACCTGAGCAACACAACAAAGAGTGTATAAATATCTCAACAGAATGACATAAATCCATCCATAATTCTGCTCATGTTGATCCCATCCAATAACTCTGAATTTGGCTCGAGGAGGGAACTCCACTGACTCTGCCTCCCTGCTCCACACTTTGATAGCAACAGTCCAGTGATTCAGAAATGACCGTCAAGCCGGAGTCAGGAAATAGATTTACAGCTCTTTCAATTCCACCTTTGAAATATCACTGCTTCCCCTTGAGGAGCTGCTCCCACTGACACTGAATTCATTTGCCCCTTCGCATTTATAGGCACGTGCGGAGTGCTCCTTAATTAACTGTAGTGGAATCTCTTCTTTCACCGTCTGCATCCTTCCAGTGTGAGGCAGCCTCTGAGCAGCGGCTCTGGCTGAGTCCCTCCTCAGCGAGCACTAAGAGACAAATGTTCCCGTACAGCTTGGCTGAGTGTAAAGACTGTATCACATGTCTTAAAGCCAGACTGCCTCTGGATTAGATGGAATAGTGGGACTCTGACTGATCATATGCTTCTAACAAATGCAAATCAGGGAAGCTGGCACTACTCACGTTGCTGTGACCACATGATTAACAATTATTTATATTTAGAATGGATTTCTTTTCCTCCTGAGGCAACGTTTCCTTTTATTCCTTCCCTTTTTTTTGTTGTAAGTTTCTTCTCTGCCCTACATTTAGGAAACTAAGAACACACTTAATGTTTTTAAGTGATTAAAAGTTAATCCAGGAAACTTATGCAGAAAGTCAGAATGTTATAGTGCCAGATACAAGAATACGAGGAAGGGAAGACGTAAACCTTCAGTCCTTAGCTTACCTTTGTGATGTTAGAGGAAGGTGCATAAAAGAAGATTAGACAAGAACATGTTTTCACATGCTGAGCAGAAAGGAATATTGAAAGCGGATTGTGTTGAGAAATAATGACGTCCATTCAGCTGAAGGTAATCTTCACCTACAGTGGGGGAGTTCTTCAGCCCGTGATGGTGACATAATGATGATCATTGGATAGACAGATAGGTGAGTGCTGTTATTTGGAGTAAATCAGCACCCAGTGGGAAACAACTCGATCCTCCCTGTTCCCCACCACCTTTACTACATGGTGAGCTCTACTTGTGAATTGTGTCTGGATTTTTTATCACTGGCATGCAGAACATGCCCAAGGCCTGCAAGCTCACGCTGCCATCTCTACGGCATAAAGACTTCACATTTTATTTTGATGCTTGCTCAGGAAGACAGGGTGCATTCCCAGTTCAGGAAGCAGTGAAGAATACCCAGAGAGAGAGGAACAGCAAGAAACTGCTTGAGATGTAGGCACACTACAACACAGCATTAATGTCTGAGGCTTTGGCAGAGTCAACTGTGTGCAGAGGGGGTTTGGGATATATAGGCGGAAGCCAAATAGCATAAATTGCTGAGTTGTTCTTAGCAGAACAATAGTTTCCTGAGATTAATTGTTCATAGAAATTTTCCCATGTTGACTATGTGTTTTGACACATAAGGACTGAACTTCAAGCCATCTGTTTCACAGGGAGTTTGTTCAGAGATATGTGGAGTTCTTGAAACACAGTGGAGACCATGCATCTCAAACACGAAACCCTGAAATCGATAATATCATTGATCTTTATCCCTCTGAGTCACACAGACAATTATCCAGAACCCAAGGAAAGAAGTGTTCCTGCAGTTAAAGTTTAATATTTGTAATAGGTGTGGGTGACACTACAAACTTTGTTTTGGAGAAAGTAACACCAGGGAAAACAATCCTGACTCAAAGTGATTATTAAAAGCGGCGAATGTATTTCTATGTCAACAACAGATGAAAGATGCATCATTGATAATCTAATTCTGAAAGCATTTTCATTACCACTGACTATTTCGACCAAATATTTTCTTTTACTTTTCTGTCGTTTTTTTTTTTTAAACACAGTTTTCAGCAGTAAGTAGCAATCACTGTATTCAGTAACAGCAGAGAAGCAACACATGCACTAAGGACACTGCTGTTGTAGAGTAAGTGTATTCTAACACAAGACTCTTGTTTTTTATCACCCGTCCTATTGAAGCTGATACATCTCTAATGTGAAACAGCCATTTAAAAATTCCTAATAGCAAGTGTCTCCTGTGTAAACATGAAAAACATGTGGGACAAACACAAAAAATGAAGCCACTGAAGTCACACAATCAACAAATGGAAAGTGGTTGGTGCTCAGTGAAGCTCAGTCAAGAGCTTTTTTTTGCAGCTTGCTCAGAAATAACAAGCCTTATTAAAAAATTGCATAAATATTTTTGTGATATTTTGCCTCCTAGAAATTCAAAAGCCCAACAATTTAAATTGACTTAATGCTGGAAAATTAAGAAATGGTTGAATTACTACTACTATTACCACTAGAGACATGAATTTGTTTTTTCATGTCTCTAGAGATTAAATCTGCCATTATTCTGTATTTTCTTATTGTTGAAAAATTCCGTAAAGACAAACAACATTTTTGAAAGGAGACTTGATAACCTCCAGAAACACGATGCACTGTAGTTTTTTTTATTTTCTCTCACATAAAAAGCAGTGTATAGGTCAGGGATTGCGGATCAAATAGTGAATATTATATTTACTATCTTTAGGATTTACAGCTAAGACTGGGAGATTTACTTTTAAAATGCATTTCAAAACATCTACGATTTACCTGTTTAAAAATGTAGTTGGCAACTGAATTCAAGTGTTACAATATTAAAGAAACGCAATGTGACAGCTTTCTGCTACTTTTGGATTACCTCAACGTGAAACATGTTTATAAAGACAAGAAATAAAGATTCTGTACGATAACAGAACAATGTAATTTTAGGAAAGAGTAAAATGAATGCCTTGTGGTTGTTTGCTTCCACCCACCAGCTTTCATCCATGTCTGTCCAGACTCATATAAGATATGTGATGAAGACTTTAAGGACGGGGCTGCAAGGTGGAGCAGTGGTTAGCACCGTGGTTGCCTCGCAGCCTCGCGTCCCGGTGAGGACAGCCGTGATCTTTCCGTGTGGAGTTTCTCGCCGTGCAGTGTGGGTTCTCTCCAGGTTCTCTGGCTTCCTCCCACAAGGTCCAAAAACATGTTGAGGTTAACTGGTGATTCTAAATTGTGCGTGGGTGTTGGTTGTGTGTCTCTAAGAGTTTTTGGAGTTGCAATGAACACTGACCTTTTGGCCTTTGACCCCAAAAAAATCTAATTAGTTCATTTTGGAGTGTAACTGAATGTTTGTGGCAAATATGAAAAAAATACCTCAAGACATTTGAGAGATAACGCAGTCACAAGAACAGGATTAAGTACTCACCTAAAATATTTTTCAGTGGTAGTAGGATTAAGAGGTTGGCCAAATAACACTAAGTGAATTTTTGAATAATGCATTTTTAAACTGTCAAAAAAAAAAAGAGCTAATAATCTTCTGGTTTTATTAGAAGTGATGTAATCTGTTTTTCTGTTGTTTTTTTTTTTTTATTTTGTAACTTTAAGAGAATACAATAAGCTTTTCTGCATGCTAATTTCCAGTGGTGGTAAAAGTTTACATATCCTTTACCAAAGTAAAAGTACTGATAGCGTACGATGAAAAGACTCCAGAACAAGTAAAAGTCTTTTCGTAAGTGAAATTGTGCATATTATCAAAAATGTATTCAAATTATGAAAAGGTAGTCATTGTGTAGTAAAATAGTTTGTCAGTTTTATGATTATATGCAATGTTTTTATTTTTATCATTATTACTACTGCTGCAATAATGTGACTTGCATTTTACTGCTGTAGATGTTTAACATTTGGCCAATTTTTATAGACTTTATATGCTGTTGAGTCATTTAACATAAAAAATATGAACCTTTCATGGGCTCAGAAAATAAATATAAGTTGGAGAATGTTGTCTGCTCATAAAGGAACCCTAAATCGTTGCGTTTATCACAAACATTAAAAAGCCACCAGATTTGGCGATAGGTGTTTTTCAGTCAACAGGAAGCATGTGAAGAATTGTGACCTGAGATGTAACTAGAAACTAAAGCAGTACTCGAATTAAAGTACTTGGTTGCATTCACCACGGCTAATTTCATAACACCCCTCCACGTATTCTTTTACTCACCAAGCCTGTTTATGGCAGGAGAGGGCTGTAAATATGAAAATGACTCAAAATAACCTGCAGTGCTTTTCTTGGATGCTTTCAGTGCAACCGTGTGGCTCATTGATGTGTTCTTAAAAGTTTTCGGACATCAGTGGAGCTCCGTAGCATCAAAGGAATAAGCTTTATTAGATGTTGACTACATAGGCAATGAAGGATCACTGCTGGTTTTGGTCTTTGGAGATTTGACAATACATCAAATGTAGAATGTCAGAGGCGAAAAACGACACTATGTAGATTTCATCTTGTTTCATATTTGTTAATGCAATAATATGTACATGTAGATAAATGACTGCCAATGTTTAAATGAGTGACTCAAGCAAGCTTTAGTCTGCATTGCAAATATTCAAGTGCATGCACCTGCAGTATGGTTGAGTGTGCTTTCCTGTGATAGCCCTTCACTGTCTTGTGCAGGAGCATGTAGACACAGGATGTTTTCACAGCTCAGCTCATAACGCAACTTTTTTTTGTCGAGTGAAAATAAATAAATAAATAAAAGACCCTGAATCTATATCTATCATATTTGCAGTACAACAAACCAATCAAAAATGTTTTTTCCTGACCTGCAGACCACCAGTTTCTGTCTGAAGAAGGTTCATGCACTGCTGATTCAATGGACTTTTCCTTGAATGGTTCTGACGGCTGCTCTCTGAAAAGTAACCCTGAAAAAAAAAAAAGGCGATTTTTGTAAGAATGCCCACAAGAGTTGTCTCCTAAATCTAAAATGGTGGGTACAGATATTGCCAGGAAGCAGACAGCCCATAAGCTCCCACGGGCTTTTGGCCTGAATGTTACATACCAACAGTGATGAGGTTCTCTGGGACATATCTAAAGCAATAAGCTTCTTCTTACATACACAGAAGGACATACATAAAGTCATGTATTTTACAAATAATGGTAGG